ACTGATATCTACGTAATAGCTAGATTTATTGACGAAAATGAAAACCGCCAGTTCAGGCCTTAAATTAAATATGATTGAATATTAAAGCACAGTCTGGCTCAGTGCCGGACTCACTGTGTTTGATACACACCAAGATTCACACAGCTCAACGCTGTGTAATGTAAAAAAGAACAAAAAATCTAATTGCCAGACTAAGTAAAAGTTCGGGTGTTGTTTTTTGGTGAATATTGTCTCATTACACTTTCTCAGAAAAAAAATTGTCTTTAGATAATTATAAAGAGTTGTAAGTTATTCTACTGCTTTTCAGTTGTTTCTTTTTGTGAAACAGGTCGTCATTATATTATATGGATGTGCAACGAAGGAAAGCTGAAAAAATAAAGGTGAATTGTTGAATTGAATTTTGTGAGTCTTATGGCTAAAAATCATATCAAGGTTTTACTTGAATAAGCAAACGTTGTGTAGATATCATAGCTTCCACTGGATTTGCCAACGAAGTCAGTAAAAAGTTTCCTCTCCTTTCTTCTCTATGTTAGACTTGTTTCAAGTTGTTAAATAACAAATTTGCTTTTCAAGATATGAAAGGGAAAATGTCATGGCTTCCTGTAAGGTGATAGATGTTCACTTTTTCCAATCCCACAAATCTTAAAGAATCATTAAAACCCTTGTCATTTTAGTGGGAAAAAATTCATTACAGATGACGAAGAAACATACCTTTGTGAAAATGTCAGTGGCAAGGTTTTTATAATTCCTGCTGCGAACAGACTGTTACTTGTGAACGTGACGAGACTAGTATTCCATCAATGTTTTGCGTTGTTGTCTCTATAGAAACGACAAAAAGAACAAAATTTATTCATAATGAGAGGCTTTTCGAAGCCGAACTGTCAAGAAAATAGATCGATTAAACAATTTTCACTTAAAACATAATACGTTCTCGAGAGCAATGGGAAAAAAGCCGAATCACAATCTGGAAAACATTCGGCGATATTCAACCTATTGCAAGCCAGGGTTGATTAAAATTTTCGGACTCAATAATAGCTCCCTTATATTGAGCCATCCCTATGCTTAAATCGTTAGAACTTTAATTCAAGGGCATTTTTAAGTCTTCAATTGTGTTGCGCGAGAAATCCCAATTCCCCAAGCGATGAAGAAAGCGAATTTCGCCGATAGCTAGAAATAAACGCATGGTTAACGTTTGGTCCTCTACACGGCCTGGACAGGCGGTCCGCAATAGGTCTAAAGATATAGATATGTTTGCTTCCTTTGTCGACGTTTACTGACTAAAGAACACGATGATCAATATGAACACTGCAGCCGAAATGAAATAGACACCTTACGAAGACAACAAGAAAGCGTTTTCAAACTGATTACTTCCGAAAATGGAAAAGAAAAAAAAAACCTGTTAACTTATTTCTTCAATGTCGATGGGTTGACATAAATCCTTTGCAAATGTTTCCGAGCGCTTTCTTTTAATAAAGATCTAGATTAAAATTACGGACAGATTTTGACAGCAACTATGGCAAGTGAACAAATCTTCAGGTTTTTCCTTTTAGATTGTATTTTTGTTTACCACTCTTTTATTAAGCTAGCTTGAAATGGTAGTTGCCTTTGTTTCACTGACATTTTAGTTCGGTTTCAACAGATTCGTCCATCAATAATAAATACCTGAAATTTATGCGGTAGGAAAGTGATTCCGAAGAGCAAATCAGCCAATGATTTATAACTTTGTTGACTTGATACCTACCTTGGTAAATTATATTTTACACTCCATAGATACTAAATGTTCTTTAAAAAAAAAAAATCAAGAAGGTATAGTTTTGTTTCTCAGACAAATTTGTTTTTTTTTTTTTTTTATTTAGGTTTATTTAGAATTCCAATTTCTCTGAATCACTTCCTAACACTGGCAAATTTGCATTGGATATTGCGCATTTTAATATCAAAGTGAGAAGACTCATTTTTAATTTTGTCACAGGAAATTTTTCAATCTGCCTTATTTTGACTTCATGCGCTGTTAAAAGGATCGATGCACGTGGCTTGTGCACATTGTTTTGACATATGATTCCAGTGTATTTCGGACGCAACGAGAATGACTCAAAGAGAAAAATTTCTGCTTACAACCAAACTTTGGCACAGGACCAAACGGAAATTATCCGAACACGAAGTTATTATTAGGGCCGATATTTTGTCTACGTTTTACGTGTTACTTCAATTTAATTATATTGGCAAAGTGAAAAGCAAAGAATTGTGGCGGACGAGTTCGTAAAATAACCGGCGTATTTACTAACATCTCAAATATCATCTCACATAACGTGCCTTTATTAACTTTAAAAGTCCTTTTCCCGCGATGGTAATGGAACAGAAAAAAAAAAAACACTTTCATTACCTTCCCCTCCTCCCAAACTCTTTCCCGACCCTGTTCTGTTGAAAAGAAAGACCCGCGTCTTAAGGTAATTCCTCTGAAATAAAAGTGACAATAGATTTTTGTTCAAACTTTGTCCACTGA